CGGCAGTGGGTTCAGGAAGGGCGCGATTCGTCTCTCCCCCTTCTAAGAGGAGTCAGTGAGTCAGACAGTGTGTCCAGTGAGGATGCAGGCAGCATTTGTGTCCTAACGTGAAGATGGAGCTAGGAAGCTGGGCCCGTGCGGGGTGCTGTGACCTGCCGTGGTGAAGGCTCAGGGAGCCTTGGCACCCCCCTCACGGCTCTCCCTGGCGCTGCGCAGGTGTACGCCCACGCGGGCGCAGCCCTGGACGGGAAGATGTACATTACCTGTGGCCGCCGCGGGGAGGACTACCTGAGGGAGACTCACTGCTATGACCCAGGCAGCAACACCTGGCACAGCCTGGCAGACGGGCCCGTGCGGCGGGCCTGGCACGGCATGGCCACCCTGCTCAACAAGCTGTACGTCGTCGGCGGCAGTAACAACGATGCTGGCCACCGGAGGGACGTGCACCAGGTGAGCCGGCGGCCCGGGTACCGGGGAGGCCGCTCGCTCCCCCTGCCTCACTGTTTCCTCCTCCGGAGCTTTCCCACACAGCCTGCCCCCACAGCCCAAGCCTAAAACCCTTGCAGGAGCCCTGCCACCCATCCGGTTGTCACAAACAAGCCCATTACCATCTGTTGAGCAATGGGAGCCTTTAATGTTTTCTTTTGTTTTTTTCCATTAAACACTGTAGTTCTAAAGTTAATATTACAGCCACATCACAGACCCCTTGAAAATGGAAAAGGCTGGGTAGAAACACTCAGAGTCCTGCCACAGCCGTGCTGGTCCTCGCCGCCTTCCTGTCACAGTCAGAAAGCACCCCGGGTTCTCCCCGACGCTGCTCCCAGGCATCTCTGCCGTGTGCGGGGGCGCCAGGACCACCTCACCCGCCCCAGTGGCTGTCCCTCTGGCTGCTGGCACTAGAAACTTCTCCACGTGAACCGCCAGGTCAGGTTTCCGTTACAGAGCGGTTCGGGTGTTTGGGGATGCCGTCTTAGGTCCCGCACTGGCCAGCAGTGGCCGCGTCCTAGCCGAATGCTGATTCTTGGGCCCTGCTCCAGCCCTGCTGAAGGGGCAGGGCCAGGGATCTGGGTGTCACAGGTGCCCCGGGGGCAGGAACCACCAGGCCAGGGTGAGAGTTTTCGACCACCGCTGTTACCAAGTCCCCGCAAACCTAGTAGCTGACAGCACAGCATGACCCTCACGGGCTGCAGTCGAGGTGTGGGCAGGGCTGCCCTTCTGGGACTGCTCGGGGGCCCTGGGCCCTGGCTCACTCAGGCTGCTAGCACTCAGTTCCTCGCGATTGTGGGGCTGGGGGCCTGAGGTGGCCCGCTCCCTGGCTCACGGTCTGCATCCTCGCTCTTCAAGCCGAGCGTGCTGGGTTGGAGGGCGCGTTCTCGCCTTGCATCCCCCTGTTGCCTGTTGCCTGCGTCCCACTCCTGCGAGTAGATGGGCCCAGTCCAGCGATCTGGGAGCAGCTTGCCAGCTCTGCCCTGGCCTTTGCCTGAAAGTAGGGACGGGCTCAAGTTCCAGGGGGTCAGGCTTGGACATCTTGGGGGTTGGGGACACACACACATCATTCTGCCTCCCCAGCTGCAGTGCCCAAAGTGGCTGTGGCTACATCAGAAAGCCTTCAGGCCCCGTGTGTGTGTGTGTGTGTGTGTGTGTGTGTGTGTGTGTGTGAAATCACATTCCTGTTGGGTTATGTAGGGTGGCCACACCACCCCTTCAGCTCAGCGGGTTTGGTGACTTGCCCCTGCAGTTGCTGACAGTTGAGTGTGTCGCTGCCTGGGGTCTCGCGTTCTTTTGTGGCCAGCAGGCGGAATGTCTTCCTAGGCGTTTGTGTGAGCAGGAGTCGTCTTCCCGCAGCTTTCAGTCTGAGGAGGGGCTGGGGAAAGAACCAGCACCTTCAGACGCCCTGGCAGAGAGCGCCTAGCATGCCCTGGGAGCTGTGATTGACCGAGGGATCGAGGGGGCTTGGAGCAAGGGCTGGGCCCGACGAGGGAAGGGGGAACAGCGCGCCGTGCCGTGGGAGGGGCTCAGGTGGCGGAGGAGACCACAGGACGTCGCCCCAGCCGCGCACCGTCCTCGAGGGCTGTGAGTCTGCTCACGGCCACCACACCCTGCAGCCCCAGGCTCAGCCCGGAGCTGGGCCGAGCGCCATGCCCACAGCCGCTGAGTCCTGCCGGCCGTCACCCTGGCCTTGCCTTGCAGGTGGCCTGCCTCAGCTGCGCTTCTGGCCAGTGGTCCTTGGTCTGCCCTCTCCCGGCTGGGCACGGCGAGCCCGGCATGGCCGTGCTGGACAACAGGATCTACGTGCTGGGCGGCCGCTCACACAACCGTGGCAGCCGCACGGGCTACGTGCACATCTACGACGCAGAGAAGGACTGCTGGGAGGAGGGGCCGCAGCTGGACAACTCCATCTCGGGGCTGGCCGCCTGCGTGCTCACCCTGCCCCGCTCTCTGCTCCTCGAGCCGCCCCACGGGACCCCCGACTGGAACCCCGACCGCAGCCAGGCCGACCCCGACTTCGCCTCGGAGGTGATGAGCGTGTCTGATTGGGAGGAGTTTGACAACTCCAGCGAGGACTAAGCCCCAGGGCCAGGTTCCGAGGGCGGGGGGGTGGGAGCTTCGGGGTGGGGGCACCTGGTGGCACGCCAGCCCCTGCCACCTCTGTTCAAGCCAGCGCCGTCCCAGCCTCCCACGGGCATGGTGGGTGTGCTGTGTTACAAGGGGAACGCTCATGAGAGGCTTGGTGTTCGGAAGGAGTTGACCAGGCCCGGCCCTCTCCATGCGGACTCGGCTCACCATCGCCAGCTCTCGGCCTGGCCCTGCTTGGCCCCCGGACTCCGGCCCTTGCTAAGCGGAGATGTTGCCCTTTTCCAGAGGGATCTGGGGCAGTCCTAGTGGGGAGGCCAGTGGTTTGTGCGCCTTTCTGTGGCCGGGGGTAGCCCTGGGGACTGCAGGACAGCGGGGAGCAGTGCTCCACCCAGCAGCACCCCACAGCTCCCCAGAGGCTGAGCGAGAGAAGGCGCGCAAAGCTGTCTGGGACTGGTGGCAGATGAAAGGTCCCTGCAGCTGGGTTTTTCCGACCCCGTGTTGTTAAGTGAAATAAAGCATCTTACAATAGGCGTTCCCTTGTTTCCTCTGGCCACAGCCTCACTTCCTTTCCACTCAGTGTCAGTCCAGAGCGCGTGTCCGCGTCAGAGCTCAAGTGCGCAGACAGCCGTCGGCATGGCAGCGCAGGGAAGCAACCCGGGGACCGGCGACCCACCTGGTCTAGTGGCAAGCAGTGGGCACCAGCCCTGTGTGGACACTGGCCTGCAAGGAGCCCCTCCTGACCAGGCAGCCAGCTGAGCACAGTCCGTCTCCAGGGAGCCGTGTCCGTGCCCCACAGTAAAGCCACGGCTGAGGCCCAGAGCCTCTGAAGTTGGAGTCACACGGGGCATGATGGGCCAGGCCTGAGCAGGGCGCCCTCCCACAGGGCTCCCTTGCCTGCAGGGCCTGCTCTCCCGACAGGTTCTGCGTTGTCACCAGGTTCACCCGGCCACCTGTAGGCACACGGCCTCCAGGGCCAGTCTGAGCAGCCGGCGAAACCCGAGACCCCTCTCTCCGGTCCCCTTCACCTTCACCAAGACTTCCTGCTCTCTTGGGCCCCCCACGCAGAGCCAGCGCCCCCACTCTGGTCAGCTGGGGTGCCCCACATCAGCCTGACTTCAACACGACAAGCTGCTGGGCCACACAAAGCCACCTCCCCCTGCCCACCGCCTCGCCTGCTCACAGCTTCTCTGCCTGCAGACCCCTACCCAGCAGGCTTGGTCTTGGGTACCAGCTCGTGCCTGGGGTACCACCCTTCAGACAGGTCACGGTTCCCTGGGGCCTGGCCTCCCCCGTGGACTGGGCAGTGGATGGGGAACGGCCACAGAGCCTGCTACACTGGTGGGCAGCAGGGGGAGATGAAGGGTGTGTGTTTGCTGTCGGAGTAGCCGGGAGAAAGGGGCAGGTGGTCACCCACCCTGGGCTTTCCCATTGGTGTCTGAGAAAACGTGCCCCATTCCCTAGCTACTCTGTGACATTGTCACACTTGTACACCCAGTGTTGACCCCGATGAGGCATTTCTTTTGGCACAAGACAGTCTGGTGTCATCTGGAGACCCTGCGTCCCAAGAGTCGGGTGCAGGAGGGTCCCTACTCTGAGTCTTGGGCCCAGCACTTCCTGTGACACACCACCTTGAAGGTCAGGGCAGCAGGGCCTACAGAAGATGGTTCCAGAAGAACCCCTTAGTGTGCTGAGCTGGTGTTGCCCTCCGCACCCAGAGGGAGGAAGACGGGGCCCCGGGGCTCCAGTGTAGCATGGCGGAGGCTGGAGCCCTGGAAGAGGGCAGCAGCCTAGCCCTGCCACACGCCCATCGCCTTCTCCTGTCCTGGGGCTCCGTCCCCAGCTGTCCTGCCTTCATGCCCATGGGATCTTTGGCTCTTTTTTTTTCAATTTTTATTGTGATTTCGGTGTAAGTTGACAGAGCAAATTCATTTTCCATACAGCAGTTCATACACATTTTGTTTCATGACATTGACTGCAGTTCCCAATGTAACAGTTCTCTTCCAGTTTCCTCCTTGTGGTTGCCTGTTTCTCGTTCTCCTCTTCCATGCACTCCCCCCCGCCCCACCCCCCGGCTATCTCCCTGTGCAAACACTGCCCTCTGATCTCCCATGACTGATGACTCTAAGGGCTGTATCTACCTGATGTGAATGTTCATCCCATATGCCTATCTGTTGTTTGGCTGGAAGCCCTGAGAGTGCATTCAGTTCCAGACCTGAAGGGTTACTTGCAGCCATAGTCTCAGGGTCACACCAGGCTCTATCAGACCAGTGAACTTGGCCTTTTTTATGATTTTGAGTTTTGTTCCACATTGTTCCCCCACTCTATCCAGGATCCCCTGCACCGATTCCCCTCTGAGTGGTTGACAGTGGGAGCCTGGCACCATCTAGTTCTTCTGGTCTCACGGTCACGTAGGTCATGTAGGCTGAGGCTTGTATGGTCCACTAGTCACTTGGCCTCACTGTTTCCATGCGTCTTTGGTTTTCATGTCCATGGAATCCTCCCACCCATCAAGGCTGCCTGCCCAGAACCAGCCGATCCAGCTATAGGACTGAGCACACTGGCCCACACAGAAGCCGGTGGTGCCTGGGTGCCTCTGGGCCCAAAGCTCCCTGCTGGTACTCCTTCCTGGCAGCTCTCCGCAGGTACTTAGCTCTCAGCCGGGTGCCGTGGTGGGATCCACCCTTGACATCACCACACACCATCGGCTTCACAAAGCAGCGTGACGGGCGGGTGCACGGGGCCACGGGTGGAGTGAAACGAGGCTGGGGACAGACCTGGTGGGATTAGGAAGACGGAAGGGTGAGGCGGCGCGCAGAGGGGGGCTGGGCAGGGCCCTAGGAAGTCCTGGTGAAGGACTTCCCTGCGATTGGGGAATTGTCCAGGACAGTGGGCTGAGCTGGTCCAGCTCAGAAGGGGGAAAAGAGGTGACGGGGTTTGAGATGGCTGGTTCCGAAAGCCCAGCTAGAGTGTGTGCGCCTCCGGCTTTGGGGTCAGCCCCTCGGAAGCCTGGAGGGAGGCTCCCGTGAGCCGCCAGAAGCCACCGGGAGGGACACTGGCCACACGGACGTCCTGTGGGCCGGAGCAGCCGCTCCCCAGCAGCGAGGGGCACTGCCAGCTGCGTTGACCCAGACGGGGCTGCCCGCCTGTCCTCCATGTTTGTGACTCAGCCAACTCCACTGTTGCCCCAAGGCCCCTCCTCCAGCCCACCCTCCATGCCTAATAGGCCCTCCATCCTCTCCAGAGAGCCCTGGGCCTGCTAGGTGCCTGGTACCCAAGAGAAGGTGGGAGCCTTCCCTCCCGCCCCCACCGCAGACCCTCCCACTCTCCAGTGACTGAGCAGTCCCTGTTAGGCCCAGAAGACGTCTCATCCTGGCTGGGTCTGGGCTGCCCCCCTGTTGTTCCCACCCCCTCAGGTCTGCTCCACAGGGAATTTTGGTATTTCCTGCCACACCCTCCCTGTCCTGTGGGTCTGCCCCCAAGGACTGGGCACTTCTGGGCCGGCCTCTGCTCACCAGACCCAGACAGTACCTGCCGCCTCCTGGCTTCCAGGCTCTGGCCAGGTACCTTCTCGGGCAGAACCCACCTCCTAGGCTCGCGCCCCATTCACCCTGTGTAGGGACTCCAGGGTCACAGTCCCCAAGGTCAAGTGTTGACTTGACCACCACACATGCTGGGCCATTCTACGTTGTTCTTAGGGGCCGAGGAGCGCTCCCAGGCCTCGGGACCAGACTGAGTGTATCAGGCCTCCAGACTCCGGCGTCTCGCTCACTCCGCAGGGCCGGGCTAACAACGCGGGAAGCGAGGGAGGAGATGCTCCCCCAGCCCGGCACCGCGAGGGGCTTGCGGCCTCGTCCCCGGCCGGTTCCCAGGCACTGGCTGGGACGGGGACTCGACCGCGTTCGGGCCGAGTCTCGACCGGATGCCTGTGGAGGGCAGGGAGCAGCGCCGGGACC